AAATCAATGAAACCAAAAAAACCTGCAAATGGAAACTAATTCTCCACTTTACAATCTCTCAAATGTGAAGTACTTCTACTAGATGTCCTGTAATCAGTCATGACTTTGAGGCTTTTCAAAGTTATTTATATGGCCAGAAAATGTTTCATAGATCCTATTTTTTTGCTTGATATTCTGCTTTAAAGTTGTACTAATTTTGGTTACTTTGTGCTTCAATTAAGAGACGAGTTAATATAACATTTGGTCTAAATGAGAAAAAAAAATAATTCTACACAAATTGACATCTCCTTGCTGGAAGACATGAAGGCTTGAGGCTGGCATCTTCCTTACTTTTGAAATCAGGCTCTTTATTTGAGAAGGAAAACACTTCCATGGCTATTTCTATTAAGATGTCTAATTTCAGCCTGCCAAGGAGGTGTTTTTAATTCACAGTCTGACTGTGAAGAGAAAGGTTAGAATAGAATATCTAGGATGACATAGGGCCTGTATTTTCCTCCTGTGTTTGTGGACTGGTTTTAGGATGGAGAAAAAGTCCCTGGCTGAAGCTTGACTGTTGCAATAGAAACTAATGTTAATGGCAAAGAATGACAGATACGAGCATGATAAACATCTTCACACTTGTTGCCACTTACACAGCACTAATTCTGGACTTTAATTGTATTGCAGCCAGCAAATACCAAAACACTGAACTACAAAAATGCTGTCAAGATGGAATGAAATTAAATCCCATGAGGTTTCCTTGTGCAAAAAGACTAAGAAGGGTGTCTGGCTCCCGCGAATGCAGGAATGCATTCCAGGACTGCTGTGAGAAAGCCACAGCCCTCAGGAAGGAGGCCAAGCGGAGGAACAGAGTGGGCTTGGCACGACGTAAAGAACAGTGGCATACAGCTGCCCCTTCTTTCACACTTCATATGGTGGCAAGGGAGGGTTAAGGGGCATTTAGTACTGTGGGGCTGGGGAGGAAGCTCTCACATCAGCATTGCAGTGGGCCTCAGTGTAGTGCAGCACCCACACGGCATTGCATCTTTGCACCCATTCACTGGGAAGGTGGGAGCGAGATGGGATAACTTCTTGGGGTGAGAAAGGAATCACTTTAGCCCAGAACAGCCCTGTGGAGGAGCTGTTTTTCCCTGCCCAAACCCCAGGAAGGCCACAGAGAGCAGAGCAGCAAAGCGGGTTCAGCGAAGTCTGGGTTCAGGGCTCTAAGTGGTCTTAGATCCATGACTGTTTTATTAGTGGCAATACTGTTGTAGCACCTGAGGATCTCCCAGACACCTTGTCATGAGAAGGGGCCACTTTAGACAGAAATAATTTTGTCTTCCTTTCTACTCACCAAAGTCTATCTCTGACCACATATGTTACATCTTGCCTCATATTAAAAAAAAAAAAAAAGAATTTACTTGGTATAGAAAATTACCCCTTTCTAAATGCAGTTTCCACTACCATTTCTCACAGATTTACCCTTTCATTCTCTTTCACAAGTATGGGACAGTGGGAACATCTTTGCTATGCGTTACTAATTTCTCATTTGCTAGCATACAGTTAATGAACGTGGAAACAGGAATTTTCTTTCGTTCATTGACAAGATTTGGTCAGTGCTTCTCCTTTTTCAACATATTTTTGTAATGTAGAAGAGGAAACACAGATGAAATCTTTTCATTCAGAGCATTTTTTCATGCTCTGACAAGCTGACTCCCTGCAAGACAGTGTAAGGTCAGTAGCCAAAGACTTCCAGACAGAAACCCCACTCCTGTTTTACAGAATACAGCGACCGTGAAGAATTCTTTGATGAAAGCTCTGTCAGCTTGCGCAGTTATTTTCCTGAGAGCTGGTGGTGGCATTTTGAAGAAGTGGAAAACCCTGGAATCCATAGGTAGTGTACTACCTGAGTAGGTGAATATGTCTAAATTTGTACAGTAAAATATATATAAATATCAGCTTTATATGTTTTCTGATGCAGAAGACTTCAGAATATTTGCAAGTACTTTGTTTCTACAACCGATAGAATATGGTTTTCCCTTATAATACTCAAACTTCAGCAAATGAAAATGTTTACATTTTATACATCCTTCCTAATACATTTTATACATCCTTCCTAATACATTTTATTTTGCATTTCTTAGTGTAGAAAACTTTGCTCCTGACTCAATAACTACCTGGGAGGTTCAGGCAATAAGCATATCTCCCGAAAAAGGTATAAGTATTGGGTATTTTGATTGGTTTCTTTGTATGAATGGAGAATGTGTAGTTTTTAAAAGAGACACAATGTTATGTTGACAGAGTAAAACGGTCTGTACTGAACAAACGCAAAGTGTTCTGATCATGATATTTCCTTCACTCTTTTATGCCATATTAAAGCCCAGCTAGAAGTTATGAGCTAGATTTATAGTTATAAAAGCACCATGAAGTGGGATCTGAGGGAGGATAGACAACACAATCAAAACTGTCTCTTAGTCTTTTTTCTCCATAAAACACCTTGGTTTAGCTTCCACAGGGCCAGGAAGCCAGGAGAAAGATAGTGGTAGTAACGCTGCTTTTCTTTGAATAACTCTGGGACCAAGTTCTGGCCATATCAAAGCATGAAAGTCTGTAGTCTCTAGGAAGACAAATAAGAGCACCAGGAAACATGCAAAGGACCAGCAAGGGCTAGACACCAGAGAGCTCAGGTTCCTCTGTGCTACTCTCTGGGAACTCCTAGAAGTAGACCAGGACCATGCAGGAGGGGCAAAGGGTCTGCCTGTAACTCTGACCACTTCTCCTTGGAAAGGGAGTCTTATCCAGGGGTATAGTGACAGGCATGGCGTTTATTTTCATAAAGCAAGGAAAGGCTATTGTGTTTTAAATGTGGCCTTTACAGGAAAACTGGGCTGTGTTTCACTCACAAAAGTTACAAACACTCCTGCCAAGTTTTACCTATCAAAAATCATGGCAGTGATGCCAGAGGACAAACCATCTACCCCTGAGGTGGGTCTCTAGTGCAGATGAATTGAAGTGCTTTCTAAATACGCCTGTTTTCCTCTCCTGCTCTTGACTTCGGGGGAGCTCAGCTCAAGCAATGAGTTTTGATTAGACATTTAACTTCTTATCAACTGCTGTTAAGGTTGTAATTCTCAACTAATTTTTTGTGGTTGTTTTTTTTTTTTTTTTTTCTCATCCCAGGGTTTTGTGTAGCTGACCCCCACACCTTTGCAGTTTTCAAAGACTTCTTTGTGTCCCTGAAATTACCATACTCAGTCAGACGACATGAACAACTAGAAATAAAAGCAGTGGTTTACAACTATCTGCCCAATGATCTCCAGGTAGTGTTATCAACAACTTCTGTACCATACATTCCTGGCTAGCTAAATTTGTAATTATGTAGCAATCTAATGTAAATTACCTGGCCACCTTTCAGTGCCCTCCTACAGCCCAGACATAACACTTCCATTTTGAAAGTTTTCCCAAGGACCAGATCCAGTTCTACTTGCTAATCAAACTTACTGTATAAAACAGATTTTATTTACCGTGTTACACAGCTGTATTGCTTGCCTTTCGGTATGATTTCTTCCCCTTCTTTGAAGCAATCAGTTACTTTTTTGCTCCCTGGTAATCTGGGCAGTTGATATTTCACAAGGTGCTCAAGATACAGAGGGAAATTATGAGCACGCAGTCCAATATGTTAGCCAAAAAACTCTGTGCATACAGTGCAAAGCCACTTTTTTCTTCATGTGACTCCTATGCAGCTCTCCATACAGCCACAGTAGTCACTGAGCTTAGGACTTCTGTCATCCTAAGACTGATGGTCTTTTTTTTCATTTCTTCCTATCCCTCAGCCAGCTGTTTGTCCGGCATTTTGTGAACTGTGTTGGATGGTGTAGAGGGACATATTAAAAATGTATTTTCTTTCTTACTTCCCCGTGGTTCAGGGATAAGTCAAAACCATATTGCAAATTCAGTGTAATGGAGAAATACTATTTAATTTACATTCACAGCCCTAGTCAATGTAGATGAACATTAACACACCAAAGGGTCATAGAACAATTTAGGTTGTTAAGGGACCTCTGGAGGTCTCTAGTCCAACCTGCTGCTCAGAGCAGGTCCAGTTAAAGCAGGTTATTCATGGCCTTGTCCAGTCAGATGTTTAATATCTACAAGGAAGAGACTCCACAAATCCTTTGGACAAACTGTGCCAGCAATCAATCAGTTCTTGGAGAAAAGGTTTTCCCATTTTATACGTGGAAAACAGTAAATTCAGGAGAGCAAAGTGAAAAACACTATCTTGTGAAAAGGCTTTGTTGCTCTTTCCTTTTTAAGCAAAAGCTAGTCTCCTGTTTCACCTGTTTCTAATTTCCCATTGTTATCTATACATAGTGGAGCTAGAGTTTTTTTCCTGTGCAGTGATGCTCTAATCTCAGACATTACCTTGTCCCCGCAGGTAACAGTGAAGATGGATGCAGTGAAGGAGCTGTGCACTGCAGAGGCAACAGAGAAGGCTGTGCAGCTGCCACTGGTGGCTAAGGGGAACTCTGCCACACCAGCCTACTTCTCAGTTGTCCCTCTGACTGTGGGAGAAATTCCAATTACTATTACTGCTTTTGACAAAGTTTCTGGGCATAGTGACAGCATCAGGAAGAACCTCAATGTTGTGGTAGGTATAACTAGTTGAGGATAGGCACTTCGCAAATATGTTCTTCTCCCCAAATGTAACGTTCACTGTGTGTGAAGCTTTCGTGAAGGGAGTGAAATGGTTCAAAGGTAAGATTGGAAGCAATCTCAGGAAACCTGTTTTTCAGCAAGGAGTGAGGTATAGCATGTGGAAGAAATGTAACACTATGTATATAATGTATATAGAAATGTTTGTTCTCCATGGCAAAGAGGCGTCCTTCTATTCATGACATAGCAAAAACTTCATGCAGCAAGTGTTAATCTCATAAGTTTTGATTCCACATGCTTCATCAACGTGCATGAGATGAAAGCAGCCCTGGATGTACATACAGGCTGGGGAATCAGATGCTGGAAAGCAGTGCCATGGAAAGGGACCTGGGAGTCCTGATCGATGGCAAGTCGAATATGAGTCAGAAGTGTCCTGGCAGCCAGGAGGGCCAACTGTGTCATGAGGTGCATCAGGCAAAGCATCATCAGCTGGTTGAGGGAGGGGATTGTCCCACTCTGCTCTGCACTGGTGTGGCCTCACCTTGAATATTGTGTGCAGGTTTGGGCACCACAATATAGAAAAGATATTTAGCTATTAGCAAGCATCCAAAGGAGGGAAACAGAGATGGTGAAGGGTCTGGAGGAGAAGCTGTCTGAGGAGTGGCTGAAGGCACTTGGTCTGTTCAGCCTGGAGGAGACTGAAGGGAGACCTCATTGCAGTTGCAACTTCCTCATGAGGGGAAAAGGAGAGGCAGGCACTGATCTCTTCTCTATAGTGACCAGTGACAGGACCTGAGGGAATGGTCTGAAATGCCAGAGGAGGTTTAGGTTGGATATTAAAAAAAAGTTTCTTCACCCAGAAGGTGGTTGGTCACTGGAACAGGCTCCCCAGGGCAGTGATCAGAGCACCAAACCTCACAGAGTTCAAGAAGCATTTGGACAATATCTCAGGCACATGGTGTGACTCTTTGGGATGGTCCTGTGCACAGCTAAGAGTTGGACTCGGTGATCCTTGTGGGTCCCTTCCAACTCAGCATATTCTGTGATTCTATATGAAAATTCTTTTTTCCTCATGAAGCCAAGATTGAAGATGTCCGTATATCAATATTCTGAGAAGGAAATACTCTCTGCTAGTAATAAATTTAAACCCTGTTTTATTCCCTCCAGTTAAAGAATCTTCAGTTTTAGTGACTGCATATAGGCAAAAAACCCATGATGTATAGATTATTAAATAACTCTCTTTCAAAATTATAAAAAGGAGGAACCTTCTAGAAAAGATGACTTTTCAAGAGCCAACACAGACTTGTTACAGCACCCAAGGCACTCATTGAGGGCTATTTTCCATCCACACAAAAAAGTGCAAAATATGAATCCTTGTACCATTGTAGCTAAGGATAAGGCATAGGATATTGAGAACCTGCTGTTGTTACAGACCATAACTTTTTTGGAGATAGACACAGTCTCAGAGTTCAATACTACACTAAAACATTAAAAGCAAATGTAAAAATAGCTTTATTAAAACTGAAGTTGTAGGAAGAAGGATGTGTGGAAGTCAGAAGGAAAAAAGTTTAAATCTTATCAACAAGATGTACTCAGAACTTCGTGGATTTCATATTTATATGAAATTTTTATTTTATTTTATTTTTCAGATTTATAAATGTGAGTCCCTCATTGAACTTGTCTTGCATGGCTCACAAGGCTGAGAATAAACTTTGAAGTTTAATTTTTTGGGGTTAGTTTTGGTTAAGGGAATTTCATCCAGGGAAATATTTCAGTAGTAACACAAAAAATCAGTAGAGTTTATTGGTATTTCAACTGGGAGACTGAAATTCTGATTTGAAGCTTGAGTTTTACCTGGAGAGAAATCTTACATCAAAATCACTTATTTGTGCCACCTGCTGTTCTAATGTTAGGATGGAGCTCATGGGTTTTGTGCAGTTTAATTTCAAGTGTGAGTGCTTGCAAACGTTCTGACGTTTTCTTTCCTCAATTGTGCAGGCAGAAGGTGTTTTACAGAGAGAAGAGGAGACTATTTGCATTAACAGTGGCTGTAAGTTACAGAAAAGAGTTCGATACAGATGAGATTTGGAGTAGAAAGAGGGAGTGGGTGAATGATGGGTGCAGTGAAATACTTCTTAACATATAAATATTGCTTTTGTTAACCAGAATTTGTCACAAATAGATTCAGCTGATACCTAGCAAAAGAATCAGGAAAGAAAAGTCATTAAATTCTGAATTTTTAGAACTGATTTATTTTACTTTTGTGTTTCAGAGTAACATTCTTTAAATATTAAATAAGCCTCTATTTCATTTACTAATGGGTCCTAAACATATTAAAAAGTAGGATTTTTTTCAAGCCTAGAATATTGGTAAAGATTGGAAATTAAATAAATTTTAAAAATACTTCTTTCTGTAAAATTTCATTTAATGTTTTAGATAACATTTCTGTCATAATTGCTGTCAACTGTGAAGTGCTTAAGAAAATGTTCTAAAATTATACTGTATGTTTTTTATGTTTAAAAAGTCTGGATGTAGATCTCTATTTATTATTTATTTACAGTAAAATCCCATACACTGGACCTGAACAGACCATCTGATATGGTACCAGGTTCTGATAGTCATGTGTTTGTTAGCCTGAAAGGTAAATGTAATTTTTTGTCAACAACTTCTAAAGGTGTCAAAGGACAGGCCCCTTTGTGCTGCTTATTCCTGCATGTCAGATCTCCGTTCCCTCCTAGTTTTTCTGCTATGACTCAAATTACCTGTGCTACATGACCAGGTCATACAACAGAACACCCTCAGGGTTGATCCAGTACCTTTTCCTCTTTCTAATTATTCCTCCTTACTTGAAATGGATGTAATAGCTTTATATGATCCATCCTCCTCACTGTGCTCAGACTAAAATTATGGGAAGGCCAGAGGTGAAGGGATTCAGCTTTTCTAATAAACCCACGCTACATTTAGGTTTGTAGAAACCTGCTTTAACTTTCAGAAATAAGGATGCCAGACTCTGACGTATAAGTTCTGGAAAGTTCTCTTTTTCTAAAGAGAAGATATGTATAATCATATAGTCATTTAATCCAATAACTGTATACATACATATATATACTCATGCATACATATTTTAAAAACATCTATTAGCAAGTAATTTTATTAGGTGTAAATACTTTTTTTCCCCAGAAAATGCAAAATTATGCATTTGTGATATAAAGGGTATTGGCTTCCTTTTCAAATCCCTATACTAAAGTATAGCAATGTTTGAATTCATCAGATGATAAAATTGCAGAGGAAAAAAAATACACATAATGTTTGACAAGATTAATGTACAATCTTTCTTTCCCTCTGTGGGAGAGTCATGTATGGTTTGACAAGAATTTTCCAACCCAAACCCCACGCACCCCTTTCCTTGCTTCACTGCCTCCAGTAGCCTCGAGACTCTTTCATGCTCTTTCCTTGTGCCAGCCTCCTTTCTCCAGCTCTCCCAGGGTCTGGCACCTCATCCTTGCTCTTCTTTAGCTTTACAGAGTCTTAGGTAGCTAAAACCAGTGTTTAATGGTGAGAAGTATCATGCCATGCTGGAATGTCAACCTTTAGTAATTATCACCTTTCTTCATATTACACCACCCAGTTTTAAGTATGGTATGTACTATGGCTTGTGTTTTTTACAACAGGGAATGTTATGGAAGAGTCTGTTGAAAATTGTCTTAGTCTCACCGGAGTTGAGAAACTCATTCAAGTGCCCACAGGCTGTGCAGAGCAAACAATGGTCACAATGGCCCCTGCAGTCTACGCTATTGAGTACTTGGATGCCAGTGAGCAGTGGGTGAACTTTAATCCTGAACGGAAACAGGAAGCCACTAGTATGATCGAACAAGGTATGCAGAAAAAATAAATAAACAAAAAAACAACAACAAAATGCAAACAAACAAAAACATCAACCACCAAAAAAACCTCACACAACCAAAAAACATTGTTATCATTTTGCACTGCACTCTAATTGTTATTACTTGGTGAAGGAGAGACCAATGTCACAGCCACAAAGAAATCTGCGAACAGACATGAGAAACAGCACTTGTGAGGAGGAATTTGGAGACTATTTGCCAACATCTGACAGTGGACAGTATTGACATTCACCAACCACCCTCATCTTGCCTAATTTAGAAGTAGAAAGTAAAATCTGAGCTGATCAATGTAAAGTCTTCTCAGAGTAAATGGATAGCAAAGACCAGTTCTTCATTTCCTCCTAATGTAGATGTTTAAAATGGATAAAGATGAATCACATCCTAAAAAGACTTATTTCTTCCCACAACTCACAGACAGTGCTTAGGATGCCCAGCTAGGAATGTAAACATCTCTGTCCCTGGCTGTCAAAAGAAGTATCACAAAGGAAATTCCTACTGCTAATCACAATACTGACACTTTCCGTTCCACACTCCTGCACTCATCATTACATAAGCTAGAATGACTTCAACAGCCTTGGCCAATCCAGGGAGTTTCCTTGGGGAGAGGACACCTGTAAGTCTGCTTCTTGAAGAGTCCACTCCAAGATGTGATCCAAAGATAGTATTAAATGACAAAGCCAGGACCACAGTATGTGGAATTGTTCTGGCTCACTAACTCTCAGGTACAAACATAGAGCCTGAGAGTTGCCAGTGCTGCAGCAGGTACAGCTGATCTTTCTAACTGTAGCGGTGTGCTTGTGGCATAAAGCAATATAACGTGCCTGTCTTCATGATATTCAGACGTGACACACATTTAATCAGTGATAAATAAGGATATAAATAGAGATTAAGGACGTGCAGTTACTGCATGTAGGTCTTTGCCTATTTATCTAAGACTGCCTAAAGTGACATGAGATCCTGCTAATGAGTATTTGGTATTATCAGGGTCATTTAGTCCCTATATTATGCTTTTATTGATTCTTATTGAAGTTCCTTAGTGTAGAAAATGAGTTGTGTGACTATGATACAGACTTTATCAGGATAATACCAGTCAAGATCAGAGGTGTATAACCAAATAGATGATGTTTTGTATACTTTTTGATTCAATGTGCTATAAAGTCAATAGCTTGAAAAGCTGTCAATAAGAGGAAATTAGTTTCCCAAGATTCACTACACAGAAAATGCTTTGTAACCATAGGTATCTGCAGTTTTCAGGTTATTCTCATGGTTCAATTAAGCCGAACAAGACAGAGGACCTTTTAAGCCTAGTGCTTTTTCTGTGTCAAAGTCTGCTGACCAATCATTTCCTCCTTAATGCACCAGTGAGTGGTTCCATGAACTCTTCCACCAGTCAATGCAGAACATGTTCATGCTAATACAAGTGATGTAGGAAAATGCCCAATAAATAAGGGTATTCTCTGAAAAGTTATGTTCTCTCCTGTTCATGCAGGTTATACTAGACTGCTTGAGTTTCAGAAGGTGGATGGCTCCTACGGAGCATTTAAACAAACCCCCAGTAGTGTATGGTAAGTGATTTTTTTTCCTGGGGTTTTATTTTTGGTTTTTTTTCTTTATCTCGTTGGGTTTTTTCCATGTTACCTCTATTACCTTTTGATACACCAAAATTTTTTCTGGGGTGGGGGGAGGGGGGGTAGATTTTCAAAGTCTGGAGGACATGGTGTTGCCTATATACTTTTGTTCAGTCCTTGATGAAGGAGATTTATTCTGAGCCACTGATTATTTTGCATTTGCCACAGAGTAGAAATGTTCATTCTGATGTTGAGTAATAACTCACTAGGTTCCAGTGAGTGGACTGTATTGAATATGAGTCTGTGTACAAAATTCGTATGTTTATTTTTCTGTTGATATAGTCTTCTGTGAATATACATCAGCACAAGTTTCGAAAATTTTCTTTTGTGCAGGTTAACTGCATTCATTGTTAAAGTACTCACAAGGTGCAGAGAATACATTAGTGTCCAAGACAATCACATACTCAACTCGATTTCCTACTTGATTAATCAACAGCAGGCAGATGGTTCATTCCATGACCATCACCCCGTATTGGACAGGTCGATGCAGGTAGGTAATTCATATTTAGAAGAATCTTCTACTCATTTAGGGCTATTAGGGATTGAAAGGAATATTGTGAGTTGCTGAGTAACAAGAAATGTATCTAATGAAAATAAATATGTAATTTAAAATTAATTTGTTAAAAGGTCTATTTTGTCAGATGCATAGTTAGCACTTCACCACCTTTATCTTTTCATCCAATCTTAGATAATTTTTGCAGCTCTGCCTATAGAGCACTTAGAAAACTAATTGTGAGTTCCATACATTTGGTAAAAAAGTAAGCCTTTTATTGCCAAAGGCAACAGAGCCATAGAATCATACTTTACTTTTGAAGGGACATCCAGAGGTCATTTAGTCCAAACCTGGCTCAAAATAGGTCTAGTTAGATCAGATTGTACAGGGCCATGTCCAGTTGGGTCTTGAGTACCTCCTGCTCTCTCTGGTTAACATACTTCAGGATTTCACCACTGCCACAGTGAAAAAAGAAAATATTAATACTTAAGCAGAATTTCCACTTGCATATCATAGTCTACACATCCCCTATAATGGTCCAGAAACACAAAATTCTTATACAGTCCATGGATCTAGACTATGAAAATAATGTGCATCTTCCAAAATTCATTGAAAATGCAGTTACCATTTTAGTGACCATATACAAAAAAACTCACCATGTATTAATATTATTAATCATCTATGCTACATAACTAGTGAGGCTTTCACCCTCAAATCCAGTTTTACAGTTGATGTAACACTGTTGGGGGGAAAAAAACAAACAGACCAAGAACTGACCAAAAGGTTTTGATTTCTTTCTGACCCATGTTCATGCTGAGATAGTTATCTTCTATTTTTCATATACTTCAAGAGCTTTAGGGGGGAAAAAAGCTAATGAGGGGACTGTGTTTATCAAAAGAGGGATAAGAAATGATCTAGTACTGGTGAATAAATACCTTTATAGGAAAAAAGTTCTGTGGGCAAGTAAGTGTATAAAAAGTATCAAAGAAATGAAAAGAAAAAAAAACGCCCCAGTAGTGCTTGAAAATTGAAGTCATCAATATTTCTATGGGAAATTACAGATTTTAAACTATATGTTAAATAATTAAATATTTGATTATCAGCTGAAGGATATGGTGGGTTCCTAATTTCTGACGCTGTTTAATGCAAACTAGCTGCCACCATAGAAGTTATACTTTAGATGGACACACTGAGAAAAAATTAAAGGCTAAAGCTACATGGTACGTGGCCAGATGGTTTGGCAAGAAGATCCTTGACTTCATGAAAAGTGATTTTCTAAATTTAATCATAAGCATGTACATTTAACTCTTCTTTTTAATGTTTTGTCTTTCAGGGTGGCATTAAGTCAGCAGAAGAGGATTTGGCTATGACAGCCTTTGTAACTGTAGCATTGCAACAGGCTCTCCGGGTCTACAAGTTACCTGATGTGGTAGGAAGCGTGACTCATTAAGTCTGATGGTCATTGCACAATGGCATATCCACCCTTCTATCTCTTACAGTGCTGCAAATCAGGAGTTTAAAATCTGTTTGCATCTGTGGTGCATGGGAAAAGATTCCATGGCCTAATGTACAACAAGGCGCTTCGAGCTACACAGTCCATCATCAATGGTTTTAATCACTAAGGAAAAATTATTACAATTGTCTCAAAAATTGTTGCAGTGAAGTCTTCTAAATTCCTGGTACTCTTGCCAGCAGTAAGACTTGGTAGATCTCAGTGATCTTTTCAAATGGATCCATTCCGTTTTCACAGGTACAGGGGATTGGAAGGGCAGTGGATTACATGAAAAATCAACTTTCGAGAAATGCTGACTGCTATTCTACAGTTATCACTGCTTATGCTCTGACTCTTGTGAAGTCTGATGGTGAAGATGCCCAGTTTGTGACAGAAAAGTTAAGGGACTGCTCTGTTTTTGATGCAGGTACTGGTAACCATCCCTAAAAATTCCTTTAGAAAGCACTTTTCCTAATTGAAACACACTGAGAACACTTAAATGAACAAAGCATATTCAAGTAAATGAGGAACATTTCATTTTATAGAGACATATATGCATATGTGTAATATATTTAATTATTTAAATTACATAAATTAATACATCAGTGTTGACATTTTAATATGTAATATGAATAATTAATATCACTAAAAGTGACACCATAAAGTGACACCATAATGAAGTTTGGATCGTGATCTTCTCTGATATTGGAACTTGGACAATACCATGGTAAATATTTGCTTACATTTTCTGCTCCTCTTGGAGAAAAAGAGAAAAGAAAGTCCAAGCCCAATGAGGAAGAAGGCCCAGTGAGGAAGAAGAAAGTTCAAATGAGAAAAGAGCTACACAGAGAAATAGCCCAGACTGGATTTCTGATCAAGAGGCAAGGTGTCTCTTCCAGCCCACCTGCTTTCAAAGCCTCCCACCAGTTTGGAGTGCTTTGTTGCAGCTCCACGTGGATGTCATCTCTTAGTCCTCCAGTGTGTGGCTGTGGTAACTGTTGGGTTAGTTGGTTGTGTGGCTGCACTGCCATCCTATTAATTTCTTCCAATACATTTGCTAAATTTCTTACAGAACATTATGGTTTAATAGCCATAGTTTAAGTATAGGCAATATGGTTGTCCTTATTCAAGGCTGGATTTATGGGCATAGTTAATACTATTATCTCTCAGGGACCACCAGACATAATGCTACCACTCCATCAGAGAGACATCCCTGTACACTGGGATCATTAAACTGTGGTGATTGAAAAATTGAAAGTTATGGGTTTCCTTTTCCATTAGCTTTTCTTCTCAATGAATCTGTAGCTCTCAAAACACCATCTGTGTCTTGTGGTCCCTCAGTGCTATGACATGAAATACCTACTGTGTAGAACAACTGTGATTTTTGGCAAATGCCCTTAGGGAGGGGATTCAAGGCTGAGTTACTCTTGCAGCAAAGCAGCAACGCTACTGGGGAAATGGGAACGATGCAGTCTCGGTGGAAACCACGGCCTATGCACTGCTTCAAACGTTGCTCCTGGAAGACATGGAGTACACAAGGCCTATTGCTACATGGCTGACAGAAAGAAGAAACTACGGTGGAGGGTACTGCTCCACACAGGTGCCTGACCACCAGTTCAGAGGGAGTTCAAGGGGGAGGGGGAGAAAACAGAAGCCTCATACAGACTTTTTCATTTAGATTTGAAAGCATGGTAACAGTTAATCCTCAACTTCTTTGGTGCATGAAGCATAAAAGAATTTGGCTCATTAATAAACAATGAGCCAAAATAAAATGGTTAAAAGCTAGCAAGGAAGATTCTTTGTCTTCATGAAGACTTATGATAATCTAAGGTCAGAACTCCATTGGTTTTACAATTTTAGTGCTGAAAGGAAAAGTTCAGAAATAGGGTTGATAGTCTGTTCAGATAGGAACAGACAGATACAGGAGAACTTCAGAGCAGCAAAAAGCATAAAATTGAATAGTCTAAGGTGACTGATAATGTCATCCTACGTGTTGTTGAAACAATGTGGCATAATTATTAGTTTTTTTGTACTTCTTTCTCACCTAGGACACAGTGGTGGCCTTAGAAGCTCTGTCAGCATACAGCATAAGGACATTGAACACTATTTCCACTGACCTGACTGTCAGACTGGGAACACCTGGAAGACAAAATGACTACAGCATTGTTCTGACTGATACTGATGAAGAGTTTCAGAAGCAGATAGAGGTACACAACAATCCATTGTTTCAAACTTTTTTTCCTCAAACGGGAGAAACTGGGTCATCTGGCCTGGGTTTTCTCATGTTAAGCAACCATGATGTAGCTGGCTTATAATACCTTTAAATAATTTATTCTGTAAAAAAACAGAATCTTTTTAAAGAAGAAAAAAACAACAGGTGCTTAGCAGAACACTTTAGAGGTGCTTTCTCCCACCTCTTCAAGGTCTTTGGTGATGTGAATCTCTCCCAGCAATGAAGAGCAGCCAGGAGACCAGGTCTTGCTAGGCAATGAGCAAGAAGGAGAATATTCTGATCTTCACTGTGCTGGGAACTGTGAAAATATCAAATACAGGCTACAGAGGGGAGAGTGAAGTTGATGAAATGTGTCTATTGGGTCCTAAACAGCAGAGTAAGATGAACCAGCTCAGCCCATTTAAAATCTTATGAGATTGAGGTCTTATAACTCCATAGCTAAAAGTTTTCCCTACCCCATTTTGGAGTGGTAATGGCAAGACGACAGGAAAAACACAGATCAAATGCTGAGCACAGACTAAGTATTTTTTTCCCCTTTGGTTTGCAGTTTGAACTTGGGAGAAAACTTGAAGTATCTGTACACGGCAGAGGAAATGGGACAATGAGTGTAAGTTGCAAATTCAAAATCCAGAGTCTTACTGGACTTCTTTTAATCCTTTCCTGAAAACTGAAAAATTACTTGCCATGGCCTAAACCTCGCTTTCCTACCTCCAAATTTCTAAAATTCATGCCCTGAAGCCTGCCCATATGGGCAGTCAATTTTTCCTGTCTTCAAGTTTATTAAATCTAGGAAATGTCAATGCTGGTAGAGGCAGCTGGAGTTTGAGAAACTTCTTTGTGGTTGGGAATGGAGAATTACCTCAAAGGGGTCCCACACCATTTGTGAATTGCACATGTTTATACCCATGACAGTCCTCTGTGACCATTCTGAGCCTGTGGGAGACTGGTCTTTCTCTCCACACTTCCATGTCCCATCAACATTTGTTCAAGTCCTGAATGAGTAAATCCCTCATCATTTAAATGATATTTTTAGTTGCTTGCTGTTTGTGTGTTCATCTTAGATATTAAAGATGTACTGGTCTTCTGAGCTGAAGAACAACACCTGCAATGATTTGATTTTGGCAGTGGAAATGGAAGGGAGCATTAAGTACTCTGGTGAGTGAAAATGGCAGTGATTGGGTCTCAAAGGTGACACGTTTAGCCAGCTGCTAATGATAATTCACAGCTTTCCAGCTGCAGAAAGTAGGAACAAATAAATAAAACAAGGAAAGATAGAAGCCCCTGAACTCTCCCTAGCTATTGTTTCATTTAGTTGATTATTAATTTTAAATAATATAATAGCTATCAGAGTGACTGTAGGTGCAGCAGGTACTTAACAATTACACAGGTACTGTTAGAAACTCTTCTTGAAGAACAGGAGGTGAACTCCCTTCACAGAAGGTAAAGCTCAGCTCAGTTCCTTGGCTAATAAGGGACCTACCATGTGGCCTTAAAACTCTTCGAGGCAGATCTGTCATAGGTTTTTCATATGAGCAATAATGTGTTTTCCATCCCCGGAAGTATATATTCTGCCTTTGTCTACAAAATTATGCATAGCCTAAACTAACTTAGCTAGATTTGTGGGTTATTCTAACTATAGTTATCCCTAAAATTCTAAATCTGAATTAATTGTAAATACTGAGATGGTGTACAGCAAACTTCTATAAAACCCGCAGTGATGGCATGACTTCCAACTGATATTTATCATTATACCAAAAGGAGCCAAGTCACCAGGTCCTCAGGCAAATTTATGCATGACTGATCATATCTTTCACCTCCAGCAGCTGAATACTCTGATGAAAATGATGATGAGGACTTGATTGCTGCAGAAAACAGTACATTTGAGGGCCTTTCTAGCATAGAGTTGTTTGATATCCGCAGCAGAAGGAAAAGGGATGTGATCACTCCCAGTAAAGCAGAATCACTGCGGTACAAAGTCTGTGTCAGGTATGTCTGCAAGATCAGCTCTTCATTTGTTTGTAATTCTCCTTGGTCACCCTCTTCGTATCCACAAGCTCAGCATCCAACATGGTGATCTCCTGTGAGTCTAAATACACAGTGAGTCTCTCTCATGGTAGGAGAAAAGATTTCCACACAATTATGAGGTTTACAGATGTCTGGTTCAGATTCTGCCCCATCAGACTCTGGGGAGACTCTAAAGCACCTGTCAGGCTAATAATTTGAAAGATGTCTTTTATTAAATAAAGTAAATACAACTGGAATGCAGTAGTAACACATTTACAGAGTTTCTTGAAAGATGCTGTTACTTCCTTCGTGGTCAGACTCAGGCCTTATAAAAAGAGAAACTGCATCTGTCGCTATCTGAGAGAGCAGGGGAGGAAGGTAGGATATCCTGTTGTGACAATCAAGTAGCTGGCAAGGCCAGAAGTAGTAAGAAAGAAATCCTTCAGTGCAGAATAACTCTGCAATACCGGTCTTTGCTCTTGCTCACGGTCTGGCATGTGTCTCAGAAACACAAAGTGGTGACTTTTCTGGATTCCTCTTCTAGAGAAGTACAAGGTGGCAGAAGCAGATTTTACTCCTCAGTAGAATTTCATTTTTCCACTGAGTTTTGACAAAGTCTTGGTTTTATTCTCCCTCTCAGACAATGGCATGAACAATGGCAGTGGAGGACTGAAGTCACCCTAATTCCCAAGTTTCACTCCCTCTCATTAAACATATATTCAGTGAAATGTGTGCTGGCCAAAGAATTATTTCCCCCATTAATTACTATGTAACATTTATCAACTACCAGCCTCACTGTTCCACAGCACACTGTTAAGTGTTAGGGTGAGGCTTAAACAATAATACGAAGCTCCCTTTGTTGTAGTTAAGATGTGGGAGAAAAAGTGAAGGCACAAGCTACATCACCATTCTTCCCTACACTGCGGTACATCCCTTATGGGAAAAGGAGGGTAACAAAATAAAAAGTTCTGAAGTTCAGAAAGCCTATATGAGAAGCTCAGGTAACACACATGGGTTTTGAATGGCCATTTGACTAATTGAGATGACTAATCTTGCCTCATGACTCCTAATGAAGTAGGCAGCTAATTTTCAAATTAAAATCCACTTAGGAAAGTTAAATGGAGCAGAATGTTTTGTTTCACCATTAGCAAGCCTGAAGAGCCAAACTCTTCAAAGCAAGCTGGCTGTTCAGTGCAGATGTCCACTGCTGACTGTCTCCCTTATAAAGGTCCACAGGTTCCAAAGCACCAAAGATGTCCCTGGTTGATCTCACTCTGCTGAGTGGCTTGGAGCCTGACACAAAGGATCTTGAACAGGTTAAACCCACACTTTTCTATGCAATCTTTTATAGCTCTTTTAGAAAATTTGTCTTTCAAAATCTTTCACAAGTCCACAGGATAAACAAGGGAAAACAGATTTTGAATAGGTAGATTTTCATTATTCCTGTTCTGATAAAATATTTGCTGAATATATACAAAAAATGCAAAGCTTGTGGTGAGCAGAGTTCAACCTTCTTAGTCCCTTTTAAGAGAAATTATGGCAAAGCTCAGCAGGGCACTTAAACACGTGCCTGTCCTTAACACGTTACTGTCCCCACCGGCACTGTTGTCCTGCGACACGCCAGGACAGTGCACCCTGTGCTTGCATCTTTTAGAGATGGTTGATGGCAGAGCACGGTGACAGGGAGATGGGGTGGACACATCTCTATAAAACTGTGGCTACAGAGTGTTGAGTTCTGGAACCTGGTTTACTGAGAGAGGTTTGCCCAGTTTTATGCTCTCAGGAACTGTCTCCTTTAGGGAGGAAGTAAGAGGGCAAAATAAAGCAAACAGCTGAACAAAGTAAACCAGTATATAGAGGGTGTAGTATTTCTGTTCTGCCAGGGTTTTGATCTGATTTGTTTGTTTCTTTGTTTTCCTGCAGTTGGTGACAGCTTCAGACCAGTACATTCAGCACTATGAGTACAAGGGAGGAAAGGTTTTGCTCTACTTTGGTGAGGTAAAGCAAAACCAATGATTTTCTAATCCCTGCCATCTCAGATAGCTTACAGATAATTTTTTTTAAAAACTAATTATTATATTTTTCACACTCCATTACCTTTCTGTAGTATTTTTTCTATATTATCATTGAATGGCTTTATTTTTTTAATATTAGGTAATAGAAAAAAGAAAAAAATGTAAATGTTATTATTACTGTGGCTGTCCTAGATAATTTGTTCATTTAACATATGTCAAAATCTGTCTCTGACCTTAACAGTTTACTAAAGGAAGTATATATACTGGTGGCCATTGGCACAACGGAACATATTTAACACCCATTAGTCCTGTGCAAGGTGGCTTTAGACAAAAGCTGTAAAGTAAAACCCAAAGTACCAATGATGTGAGTCCAGGTCAGACAACTGCAGGTAGAGAAGACCTGCACACATCTTAAAAAACTATTTTTATCAGTCTTAGCTCATGCACAAAATCTCCCAGTAAAATCATGGAAGGAAAAGTTCTCTTCAAGTTGATGGTACAAATACCAGTATTAACTCACCTATGCAATCAGAAACAGGTGTTCAACAACTAGCACAGGCACAAATGAATAAGGAATTGACTCAGTAGAGAGAGTTAGTTTTCTCATCAAAACTACTGTTCCTTTTTCCTCCAGCTCACAAGTGGACCAGACCCAGATTGTATATCATTTGGGGCAAAGCAAATCAATCCCATGGGCTTGGTTCAGCCAGCAAATGCCATCCTTTATGATTTTTACAATCCTGGTAAGGGCACAGAGAAATGATACATAACTGCTTGAAAGAGAGACCCTCAAAAAAATCCCTCCAGTCTTATAAAAGTGACTTTGACACAGCTTGTGAAACTACATAATTTTACCTAGGGATAAAATAACCTGCTTTGCATACTGTCTTGCATTGCCGTGGTTTAAGATTATCTAACTAGTGATCTTCTCAGGAAGGTCCAGTATTGCAAATGGAATGAAAAAAGAACTTTTACACTTACGGATTTTTAAATCAGGTTTCCTGAGTTTCTGTTTCTTCTGGTGATTTTAAGCATGTTTCACTCACATTTTGTTTTCAGTTAGGCTGTCTAAGATAAGCAACCTTAGAGGTTTGATTTATGTACTGTGCTTGCTGGGGAAGTCAGTCTTATTCCACATTCAAATAAGGTTAAATGCAAATCATTCCCATTTGACAGAGTTATGCAAACACTATTTGAAAATTAGGTGAAAGCAGACTTTGTCTAAACTGAGGGGTCCAAGACAGTTTACAGTGGCTTTAAATCAATAACGATTGGTGATCCTATCTTCTGAAACAGTGCAGTGCCCACTGTAGTTCTATGGTCTCATGATTTTTAAGATGAATGCTTTTCACAGGGAACAATAAAAAGGGCAGGGGGGTGGGGAGGGAGGGAAGAATGTAACTTTTAAAAAATACCCAAACAAAATTTACCCAAACTGAACAAAAAAAAACCCACAAACTGTTTCCCAGCTGGAAGGCAAGGTGATCCCTGTATTCTAGGTGCCTAAGCTATAGGTCTTTGTGGACGTCCGATGTGCATTCTATCCCTTAGTGCTCTCCTTTCCCTGGACTAGGGAGAAAAGCTGGGCTGCAGATGTAGACCCTACTGTATAGGCTTTTCCACCTGAGCTCTGAGAGAAGCTGTTTTGTTTCTTCTCCACAGAGAGAAAGTGCAGTGTGTTCTACAGTGCTCCCAAGCACAGTGCCATGCTTTCAAAGGTGTGCCGTGCCAATGTTTGCCAGTGCGCAGAAGGTAAGGAATGACTACTCAGGTGGGTCTAAAAGAAGATAGCTAATTCTAGGAACCATTAACATGGGAACTGTTAAGTCCAGAAAGGACGATTGCAATTATCCTAATGCATAATACAGGACGCAGTGCTAGAACTAGTATGTTCGGTATCAAATTGAAATTGATCTTTTGATAGCTGAATGCAATATTTTTATATATATATGTGTGCATGCATATGTAAAAACCCTCTATCACACCTCTAAGAAAGTTGTTCTGCCCTTTTATTCTCTGTTATATTGTTGTGTGAATGTGTATGTGTAAATTATATCTATCTACATGTCCATGTCTACAGAGACAGCCACGTCACTTATTTTCTTCACTCCAGGTCCCTGCCCAAGACAAAGATCAACTTTCAGTAAAGCTGTAACACAAACTACACGTTTTAATTTTGTTTGCTACCAACCTACTGCAGACTATGGTAAGGCATGACAGACAACTGTCAACTTAGTTTAAACATAGTTCTTTTTCATAAGGATAAATTTGTATTTTTTTTTTTTAATGCCCAGACCCCTCCTGAACTGAATAGGATTTCTGTATGTGGCCTAGTGGCTAAGGAGATGAAATGAAAGCATGTGCTATTGTAGCCATCAGAGGGGTGAAATGGAAAGTAAAGGCCTTGGAAACATGCAGGAGATGCTGGGGGAAGGAAGGAAGGATGGACAAAATTATGTTACAGGGTTTAGAAAAAAACCATGGTGTGAATACCACCTTCCCCTGCATCCCTCATGTTAGAGGATGTAGATAAAGAATAGGCTCTACATAGCATGCCATAGCTCAGCAGCTCCTTTTGCAGAGATAGATGAATGTTTTCTCCTTTGTTAATATGCCTTTCTGACCTCTTCTATGGATGGAAAATTGGAAGAGCTACTGAAGGAAAACTGGTTGAGCAGGTTTGGTAAGTTAAATGCTAACAGTAGGACAGAAAAAAGAGTGAAAAGATAATCAGAGAGGAGCTTCCTTGAAAAAATGCAAAAAAGGAATAAAAATCTAGAAGGTCTTGATTAATACCTGAACTTCTAAAAGCATATTAAGTGCTATCCTGTTGTCTTTCATACTCCCATGATTTGTGAAGTGATGGTACACTGGCCTCTGTATAGACACTTGGTAAAAGCACACCTGTTTTTCAGTCTTTGGATGCAATTTCATGTTTCCATCTGGTGTCTGTTGCAGTATATGAGGTGGAGATTCTCAACATTACAAAGAAGAATGTTTTTGATTACTATGAGGCCAAAATCCACAGAATCCTTAAAGCCAGTAAGTACCAAAATGTTTGATTCCTTTCATTCACCTGTAGAAAAAATAGGTTGATTGAATGTTAGCCAGTATAAGCCATGCAGATACCATCTTTTGGTGCAGAAAGTAGGGTCAGATGCACTTCTACACTAGGATTTCAAGAAGGCTGGTTTATTGCAAGGTTTGGTGTAGCTGCCTCATTGTTCAGTTTGGCTCAGGGATAGTTTTTTTTGTTCACATTGTGCAATCCCAGAGCACGTGAGCTTCATCCTTTCAGATGAAACTAAACTAGGAGACGTGCTCTAGCTGCACTGAGTCCATGGCTCCAAACTAGGGTTAGTCTAAGATAAATCCTCCAAAAAACATGCTTAGTGTGGATACAAGGTCTTCAGTTCCTATTGGAAAATAAGGTCCACTCTTTATGAGTCCAGAGAGAGCATCTGCTATACAGGGCTTTCCATATGCAGCAAAATGATAATGTACCTAATGATCAAAATACTGACTCTGGGAAATTATGGTATTCTGTGGGAAAGTTTCATTAATCTCTTTAGAATACCTACAGGATTTGAAGAATTTAGAGCTCTGGATCCCAGTGCGTTTGTACTCTCAACTTTCAGGCAAGCACTGGAAAGATTTTTTTTCTCAGGAACTGAGAGAAACACCTGTTGAACGTGAAGTTGAAGGGAAAAGATGTCTTCTCCCATTCCCACATACTTTAAAATCCCCTTTGGTTTGTGCTATCTAATGCAGCTTTTGAACAGCAGGCTTTCAACAGGCTTGGGAATGGCTGGTAGGGGGCATGAAGCCATGATGATAAAGAAAAAGCAAGGTATTGCACCCAAATCAGCTTGTGACTGAACTAGAGTTGTTATCTTCTGTATTCTCTGTGGCTCTTTTGAGTGAGGTTGGCCTATGTAGACATCAGCAAGTGTAGGTGAGAATTAGTAGGGTAAAATCTCATTCCCTGGATCCCTGTCATTATTTCAGTATCAATCTTTGAAATAAAGGATTTGTTCAGAAGACAGGTGAAAACACTTATTTGTGTTTGGGAGTCAGCAAAAGAGAATTCTGCAGATGTGTCATTCTAGGATTACCTTGATTAATAATAGAATTAGTGCACATGTTTTGGGTGACTAATATTTATGCTGTCCTATGAGTCCTTTAGGAGTCCTCTTAGAGGAAGGAGGAATTTTTGGCTGTGCAAAATAGCACAGAATCCTTTTCTTAATCTTCTTTTTTTTTTTTCCACCCCTAGTTTTTGTTTCCTATTATAGATTCTAAAACTTGAAGTAATTGCTTCTCTTACATTCTGCTTGGAAGCTTTGAAACATCGTATTTTTTTTTTTTTTTTTACTTGGAGATTTAGAATTGAAAATTATGTAATAACCTGTTAAGATAACAACTCAAATGCTTACAGTCGCCACAGTCTTAATTGCATTAGACCACTTGTGAAGTATATGAACCGAGAAACACCTTGGTAATTTAAGTGCAATGAACCTGAGGCATAATATCATAATTTTCTCAAGTAGTTCTGATCCACTTCTGCATTCCATGAACAAAATGAAAATTCAGTCCACCGTGTAGCATGGGAACAACAAAAAGGTCATGGGTTATATGAGAAAACCTACAGTACTTATTATTCTTTGGAAAAATATAGATGTGTAAGTACTATTTGTAAAATCAATGTATGTTTTACCAAGAAAGTAGATAGCGCTCTTAAAGCTGAGTTGCATAGTCCATGTCAAATTCTCTGAAATCTTATTAATGTTGAAATATCCTACTCCAGGTTTTATTCTATTTCAGTTTTATTTTGAATACTAAACTTTCCATACTTCTAATATAATACTTTGGAGAGCAGAAGCTGTGCAAGTTTCTGTTAACTGATAGAAGACTGTGGTGCCTTTCCTGTAATTCAAGCTAGTTTAATATTGAATTTATCACCAGGACATTTCAAATTATAGTTAGAAAGAGAGTGAACAAGTAGAATATTTCAGTTATTTGCATTTTTTTTACAAATGGACTTTGAAAACTGTTGTTCTAGTTAAACAAGACAATATCTTCATGACGTGAGATTGGTCTGATAATAAGCGTCTTTCCAGCTCTCGTATCATTGCAGTACCAGAGCAGCCATCTCGACTGCCTTGGATGCTCACTTCTGCAGTGGGCAATGCAGTTCTGAATGAATAATCTTCTGGGCCAGGATCCAGAGCTGAATCTTCTAAATTATTTTAACTTGGAGATCACCAGGAGCATGTCCCATGTATCAGATTAGAGGGAATAGTGTAAAGGCCACATCAGTGAAGTTCAGGTCAAATGTACTAAGGAGAGTGAGATTTTAATACTATCTGCTACATTGTTGAGCCACAAGATATTTGAATTTAGTATGCTAGCTTTTAAGACCACTCTCAGCCTGACAAATCTGAAATAGAAGACAGCACATTTTCTATTTTCCTTGGCTTTTCCCTCAGTCTCTGGGAATTAAACAAACTCCATAAGGTCTGAAAAGTCCTAAGGTCTATAGCAAAACAGCTCCTTCAATAACTACTGCAGAGGCCAAGACAACCATCTAAGGCAAAAGTCAGGTAATGCTAAGGGAAACCTATCCTACCAAAGCATGGCCATTTATCCCCATGTCAAGCTACAATTC